CTCTCCCTACATCCATAAACCTCCTCTAAGACCTTCCTGTTTCACACCCACCACCTGCATGCCCTCTCTCACCACATCCATAAACCTACTCTTAGGTCTTCCTCTTTTCATCTTGCCTGGCAGCTCTATCCTCAGTATCCTTTTCCCAACATACCCAGTATCTGTCCTCTGCACATGTCCAAACCAATGTAATCTTGCCTCTCTGGCTTTGTCTCCAAACCGTCCCACCTGAGCTGCCCCTCTAATATACTCGTTCCTAATATTGTCCATCCTCATCACTCCCAACGCAAATCTTAATATCTTTAACTCTGTCACCTCCAGCTCTGCCTCTTGGCTTTTTCTTGGTGCCACCATCTCCAACCCACATAAAATAGCTGGTCTTTCTACTATCTTGTAAACCTTCCCTTTCTCTCTTACTGATACCAGTAACTCACAACTGCCACTCCTCTCCACCCACCCCACCCTGCATACACTCTCTTCTTCACCTCTCTTCCACACTCCACAATACTCTGAACTGTTGATCCTAAGTATTTAAGTACTGTATTTAAACTCCTCCACCTTCGCCAACTCTACTCCCTGCCTCCTCCCCCTTCTGCTGTCTGTCTTCTCATTCACACACATGTACTGTATTCTGTCTAATCCTACTGACCTTCATTCCTGTCCTCTCTAGAGCATATCTCCACCTCTCCAGGGTCTCCTCAACCTGCTCCCTACTCTCACTGCAGATTACATTGTCATCTAGAAACCTTATTGTCCACGGGGACTCCTGTCTGATCTCGTCTGTCAACCTGTCCATCACCATAGCAAACAGGAAAGGGCTCAGAGCTGACCCGTGATGCTATCCCATAAAATACATCTGAAAAAATTGGGGTCGTCAAAGGCTATAATTTAAATGTCATTATACAACAGCAGATGGCGTAAACTTACTGCCTCCTGGCTAAAGGTAGCCGCATTGAAACTTAATCTACGACATTGTATGAGCTCTGATTCCTCCCGCTGTCGACAATTGGCTGACATAATGTGACGCCTTGGGGTTGGTCAGCATGCTGTATAACCCCACACTTATCATTAAATGGTATAAATTAATATGTGTATTGTTGTATTCATGTTAATTATAACTGCAGTGACTGTGTAATATTTGCCACGGAATACGTGCATTTCGTTACCGTGAGTGTCATGTAAACTGTTGGTTTCCTTGTCTGTGTCGCTGCTAGTATTAAACCGACAGTGGCTGTTAATAAGAGCATAAGAAATTTACAAACGAGAGGGGGCCATTCTTCCCATCAAGCTCATTTGGGGAGAACTTAACTAATAGCTCAGAGTTGTTAAAATCTTATCTAGCTCTGATTTAAAGGAACCTAGGAACAATAAAGAATAAATAAAGAGAGTATTTCGTTTTAAAAGTGCTGTCATGTTATTTATTAAAATGACGCGACCAGTCGCCACAATGTTTTTTTTTTCCTTTTTCCATGTCGGTCTGCTGCATCAAAAACATTCTGCGCTCTTTTGGGTTGTGGAGTTTGTAATACAGTATTTGTTTGTCTACACTTACTGTGCTATGGTTGCCTGTGGTTGTTTTTTAACAGTGACATGCTTAACCTCGTATATGTTGTTGTCAAGTAAAATTATTTTTCTGTATAAAGAATAGCAAATCTTTTCTTTAAAAGTAATTTAATGTTACCTTTACAGTTACTGTACATACTATGTACACTGTTAATTTAATGTAGCATAGACAAAGCACCTACAAGTTATCAAGGTTAAGAAGCACTTGAAATTGTAATGTTTTTCTCTCCTTGATTTCATACAGCAGAGACATAAAGTAGGCCAAGTTAGTCATGCTGCCATTTTCCTGAATGGAGGGTTGTTAGGCTATATGGAAAAATAAAGAGTTCATTGTTTAAAGGGTGATGTGTTTCTATTTTCTTAAATACAAAGATATCGAACCGTCGTTACCGTGGTCCAAACAGGGTAACACATACCAAACCATGGGAAAACTGTACCGTTATACCCCTAATATACACTATATTGACAAAAGTATTGGGACATCCAAATCACTGAATTCAGGCGTTCCAGTCACTTCCATAGCTACCGGTGTATAAAATCAAGCACCTAGGCATGCAGACTGCTTCTACAAACATTTGTGAAAGAATGGGTCGCTCTCAGGAGCTCAGTGAATTCAAGTGTGGTAGGATACAACCTGTGCAGTATGTCCAATTTCCTGGCTACTAAAAATTCCACGGTCAACTGATAGTGATATTATAATAAAGTGGAAGCAATTGGGAACTTCAGCAACTTAGCCATGAAGTTGTAGGCCATGTAAAATCACAGAGTGGGAACAACGCATGCTGAGGCGCACAGTGTGCAGAAGTCGGCAACTGTCTGCAGAGTTAATAGCTACAGACCTCCAAACTTTGTGTGGCCTTCAAATTAGCTCAAGAACAGTGTGTAGAAAACTTAATGGAATGGGTTTCCATGGCTGAGCATCTGCATCCAAGCCTTACATCACCAAGTGCAATGCAGTGTTGGATGCAGTGGTGTAAAGTACACCGCCACTGGACTCTAGAGCAGTGAAGACGTGTTCTCTGGAGTGCCGAATCACGCTTCTCTGTCTGGCAATCTGATGGATGAGTCTGGGTTTGGTGGTTGGCAGGAGAATGGTTCTTGCCTGACTGCATTGTACCAAGTGTAAAGTTTGGTGGAGGGGGGGTTATGGTGTAGGGTAGTTTTTCAGGGGTTAGGCTTGGACTCTTTGTTCTACTGAAAGGAACTCTTAATTCTGCAGCATTCAAAGCCGTTTTGGACAATTTCATGCTCCCAACTTTGTGGGAGCAGTTTGGGGATGGCCCCTTCCTGTTCCAACATGACTGCTCACCAGTGTGCAAAGCAAGGTCCATAAGGACATGGATGAGCGAGTCTGGTGTGGAGGAACTTGACTGGCCTCCACAGAGCCCTGACCTGAACCCAATGGAACACCTTTGGGATGAATTAGAGCGGAGACTGCGAGCCAGACCTTTTTGTCCAACAACAGTGGTTGAACTCACAACTGCTCTCCTGGAAGAATGCTCAAAAATTTCCATAAACAGATGTCCCAATACTTCTGGCAATATAGTGTATATACACT